TTTCTGTGCAGACACCAGAGAGAGAGAAAGAGAATGAAGAGGAGGATGAAGAGCAGATCACCATCCTCTGAGGAAGATGAAGATGGACGTCTGTCCCCTCAGATCTCAGATCAGATCTCAGATCAGATCTCAGATTTTTTCCTGATGAACTCTAAAAACTCTTCAATTTGATTTTAAGTTTGTTTTTTGGGTGAAAATATAAAATCTTTTTTTCTCCTCGTTAAAAATATTTTTAGATGAAGTCTGTTTTATGATTAAAATTTTACTGTTTACTTCAGTTTATATTTAATTTCTCTTGTGTGTTCTTTAAGTGTGATCCATGTTGGGCAGAGACAGCGCCCCCTGTCTGTCTATAAAGTCTGTAACATCTCTGCAGAACGACGTTTCCTCTCAGAAAAAAGTTTATTCATCTTCTTTATAAAAATATTACAGTGTATTTTTCCTCACAGAAAAACAGAGGACATTTTACGTGTCTAGTTTTATTCTGTCATATTTTGGTTAAACCTAAACTGTCTCGTCAAATTAAAAGTCTGGTGCTCACATGTTGTTTTGACCTTGTTCATTTTATGTGTAAACAGGAAGTGCTTCATGAGGCTCCTGAACATGGTTTTTAATGAGCAGGTTTGTGGTTTGATTCTCAGTGTGAAAAGGACTGCCGCAGTGCCTCTGAGCCAGGTAGCTGATCCTGATTATGAAACTCTGAGTATTGACTTGGTGATGGAATGTAAGTGCCTGTTGCTTTGTCGTGTCGTGTCGTGTCGTGTCGTGTCGTGTCATGAGTGTGCAGCGTGCTAACAGTTGTCCCAGTAGTGCTGCGATGTACGGAGTATAATTAACTGGAGGAAATATGAAGTTAGTTCCTGTTATCTCGTATGTTTAAGACAAAGTCGTGCTGTTCATGCTGTTGTGAAGACAGAGGTTAATAGCTGTTTCCTGTGAGGAGAAACGTCTGCTGTGTGTGATGCCATTGTAGTACCTTTGTTTTACCACAGGGTGTCCCCACTGTCCCTAACAGATGAAGTTTGTTTATTTCTCTGGAGAGTAATATTCTCATCTATAGGTAACTTCAGGTCACTGTAGTGGTAAATAATTATTTCAGTGCTTATTGATACATTCATCTGTGAATCAGCTGCTGTCAGCCCTAGAGTGGTCTCCTCTGGTCTGAATCAGGGACTCATGTTGTTCCAAAGTTTTATAATTGCCTAGAGTTGGTTCGTGTTCTCACGGCAGCATTTACAAGAGGACCAGATCAAATGCCTTGTGTGAGAAAGCTGCTCTTGATTGGTCAGAATTTCCATGTGGGAAAAATCCAGGAAGTAAAGCAAACGTTGAAGAAGAGTACACTTGCAAGATAAATGTGACACTTTCTAATGTCACAATGGAGGGACAACTACGCAGGTTGATTTTAGCGCTGCTCATCGTGGACTATATTGCTGTCATTGTTCATTTTAGTCAAACCATACAGTTTGAAAACGAGGCGCGGCTCCAACTAGAAAACAATGTTTTGATGCATTGGATGTGCTGAATGTGCATATTAAGGCAGTACAGGAGGAGGTGCACATTAATAATCCTCCAGGACTGTAACATGCTCATGTTTAACCCAAACAATGTGTCATGTGACGCTGATGTTAGCGTTCTTTAATAAATCCTGCTGGAACACAGAACAGTTCTGGGAATGAATCACTGCTTCTGTTTCCTGTCAGACTCTGGACGAACTGGCTCGATTTAATGACCTCACAAACAATATCAATAACCTGAGAGACTTGGAGGTCCCACCCTCAGCTCATCACTGATCATCAGGTAAACGTAAAGGTAACTGATCAGCTTTAAATGCACTGAACCTGTTGAATATTAAACTTTCTGAACACCTGCGTCCTCAGCTGAGAGCACTTGGATTTTATTACATATTAAATGTTGGTCAGGTTTCCATCCGATTTCATTTCCAGGAAGTGGCTGGTGTTGAGCCACAGAATCAACTGTCTGAATCTGAAGTTATAAAAAGTGACCTTTTCACAGACGGACATAAAAACATGAACCTTTCATCCACTCTGTGAAGGTAATCCCATCAAGGTAAACATTTCTCAGTTGACTCCTGGACTTGATGTGTTTAAGAGAGGTTCTTCTTCATCATCTGATCCACTCTGTTGACCAAGGCAGCATGCTGTGAAACAGCAGCAAACTGACCGCCAGCCGCATTTAACATGAGGCTGCAGTCGTCTCTGTGCAGACATTATTTGCTATATGCCTCTTATTCATTTAACCTGACTGTGTTTCTTCTGTGATAGAGTCCAGTACTGACCTTAATCCTGTAGCCAATAAGAGAGCTATTATTTTATAATCGTTATTCAGTAGGCAAATCAGACGCCAATTGTCTAAAAGTAATTTGTCGTTGTTTGATTTTGGGAATTGAAACAGTAATTCCCTGTGTCAGAAATTCATTATTAACACATTCTACAAAGACTTTATGTAAAAAAGGAGTCAGATCAGTAACAAAACATTTATAAAATTCAAATGTCAGCCCATCAGACCCTGGAAATTTGTTGTTTTTGAGTTGGTTTATAGCTTGCTGTACTTCTTGAGGAGATATGGGCCTGTCACAGGACTCTCTATCTGCTTCACTTATTATTTTAACCGAAAAGGAATTTAAGAAATTATCTGCTGCAATTTGGCTAAATTTAGAGCTATACAGATCTTTATAAAAATTGAGCAAAAGTCTATTTTATGCTGATCTTCAGTAATAGCTCCATTAATATTTAATTTACTAATATTGTTGTTGGTGGAGCGATGTTTCTCTAAATTAAAGAAATAATGAGAGTTTTGTTCCCCCTCTTCTAACCACACCAGCGAGACCTTATGAAAGCACCTTTGCTTTTTGCTGAAATAATTCGTCAAGTTTAATTTGTGAGTAAGCTAGTTCTTCTTCTTCTTCTTCTTCTTCTTCTTCTTCTTCTTCTTCTTCTTCTCCTTCCTCTGTTAGGGAATCAGGGTCTTTGCTGGATAAATTAGTAATACTTGAGACAATCTTTAACTCCTCTGCTTTCCTGGCTTTTATTGTTTGAGCACCACTCTTTCTTAAATATTTTCCCACCTCATATTTGAGAAGTTCCCAGTTAAGCCCAAAAGAGTTTGCATTGTTTGCTTTAAACCAGAAGAATGACATCATATCCATAATCTTTTTTTACTTTCTTCATTTTGTAGTGTAGAGCAATTAAGTTTCCAATAGTTCGAACGAGTGGCAAGTGTAGGACCAGAAGAAGTGTCAGCTTGTTTGCTTACTTCTCTTCACATGTGGTGACATCATCAAACACTGTAGGCTATATTTATTAATATAGTTTTCATATGTGAGAAATGAGGATGATTAGAGCTCCTGGATCATTTTTTAGTTTGAATCCAGGTCTGGATTATGACAGATTATGGAGGAGCTCTGACATGAATGAATGAATAATCTGAGGCTCCTCCGAGAACCGTCACCTTATCGTGGTGGAGGAGTTTGAGTGCCCTAATGACCCTAGGAGCTATTAGGGTAGGGTTTCCCATGGCAGATTGGTTCTGGGCGAAGGGTCAGACAAAGAACAGTTCAAAAGACCCTTCATGATGGATACAAACAAGGACACGTGTACCCGGCCCGGAGGGTTACCGGGGCCCCGCCCTGGAGCCAGGCCTGGGGTTGGGGCCCGTGGGCGAGCGCCTGGTGGCTGGGCCTTCGCCCATGGGGTCTGGCCGGGCCCAGCCCTAACCGGCTACATGGGCTCGTCCCCCTGCAGGCCCACCACCCACAAAGGGATCCAGAAGGGTTCGGTGCAATGTGGATTGGGCAGCAGACCAAGGCGGGGGCCTTGGCGGTCCGATCCTCGGTTACAGAAGTTGGCTCTTGGGACATGGAATGTCACCTCTCTGGCGGGGAAGGAGCCGGAGCTCGTGGAAGAGGTTGAGCGCTACCGGCTAGATATAGTCGGCCTCACCTCGACACATAG